GTCATAGTGGTCATGCAATGATCGAGGCTCCCACTGGCAGCAGCCAGAAGTGCTGTGTCTTAGGGAGCCACTCCGCCCCAGCCATGCTATGCCGGGGACATTGGCCTGACCTTCCGAAGGATGCCATCTTTGCCTCTGTCTCCCATGGGTTGTGTCTCTTGGTCCCCCCTTCCCCCAGCTGTCCAGGCCTCTAGTCACCAGTAGGCACATCTGTTTGCTGTCCACAGGCCTGCCGCCACCTTGATGGAGACCCCACTACCCTGCATAATCTCGCTGCTCCCTGACCACCTTCCCCTCTCTGTCTAGGAGGAGCGGCTGAAGCTCCCGATTCTCGCTGAGGAGCAGGTGATCATGGAGGCAGTGGCCGAGCACCCCATTGTCATCGTGTGTGGTGAGACTGGCAGCGGGAAGACCACACAAGTGCCTCAGTTTCTCTACGAAGCAGGCTATAGCAGGTAGGGGTTGGACGCGGGCTTCTCTGCAGGTCCCTTGGGGATGGTGGAGATGGGGCCCAAGAAAGTCCCTGAGAGGCTGGGCTCCCAGAGATCCAATCCCAGCTCTGCCCTGTGCGTGCTGTGTAAATTCAGACCAGCTACTTAACCTCTCTGGGCCTCTGTTTCTTCAGCCTGAGATAGAAATAACAATAGCACCTGTATCAGGTTGTTACGTGGATTAAATGAGTGGATTTGCCCAAACCGCTCGGATCCGTCCCTGTGTTTACTGCTGTCACTGTGTGGGCTCCTGTTGGCACTTTTGACCCAAGTGTGTCCCCAGGACCATGCCCAGGGTCGATGATTGGCCAAGAGCGCTCCCAGGACTCAGCAGCCATGCTCACAGCTGGGACCCAGCACAGGGAGAGACCCAGGGGCTGGGGACCAGGTTCAAGCTCCCAGGCCCCCTCCAGGGCGCACTCGAGGCCTTGTAACCAGGTGTCACACGTGTGAAATGTCCACCCCCGAAAGCCTGGTGGAAACTTGAGGCCCGCGGTTTTATTGGTCTCCCCAGCCCACTCTGCCCGGCAAGAGCCCAACTCCCAGGCGAGCGGGAAAGCCGGTGCTCACGTAAGCTGCACTGGGGGCACAGCCTGGGCACGGGGCCGCTCTTATCGAGGAACGGGGCACCCACCCCTCAGTCCCCTTTCCAACACGCAACAAGGGCCGGCCCCTTGCACCTCCAGGGAGGATAGCCTCGCCCCGTGGCTTCCTGCAGAGCCGAGGACCAGAACCATGGCTTCCTGCAGAGCCGGGACCAGAACCGTGGCTTCCTGCAGAGCCCCCTGTGGCCCAGTCCCCAGTGCCTGCTGTCCCCACACCAAGACACATGACCTCCCGGGGTCCACATGGAGCGGCTCTGTCCAGCCACGCTGTCGTGTACAGTGGTTTGATCAACTCGTTGACCGAGCAGCCCCGTGCGCCAGGCTCTGTGCTAGGGTAGAAGGTGTGAGCGGGACAGCAGCTCCACGGGGCATGAGACATCCACAGAGAAGTGTGGTTGGGGTGACTGTGGTGGCCACGCGGCCTCGGGACGTCAGGCTGGGAGGAGGGGTCTTGTGCAGGGCAGGCCGGGCCCCGTGCCCTCCACCAGCCGTGTGACCGTGGGGGTTACTTAGCCCTGCTGGGCCTCATCTGTGAAGTGGGGTGGTGGGCTCGGCCTCAGAGGGTCTCTGAGGATTGCCTGGGCTAAAGGCGTAGGCAGAGAAAGGCGCTCATAGCCAAGAGCCATGTTTCACATTTCGGTTTTACTCATTTTTCTGAATGAACATGGACATGGTTCAGAATTCAGAAATGACGGCCCCCTGTCGTGAGACAGGCTCCCTCCCGCAGTCCCCAGCCGCTCTTCCCCCCAAGCTCAGGTCATCTGCCTCTTACATGGCTTTTCAGAACATTCTGGACAAGGCGCTTCTCTTCAGTGTCCAGACACCAGCATCTGAGCACACCCTTCCGCCCATGCTGTTTTTCTCAATCAACTTTATTCTGAGATGATTGTAGACTGACGAATAGTTGTGATACCTGTCCAGAAAGTTCCACCTTTCCCTTGTCCGGTTTCTCCCCGTGTGCCCGTGGCCCTGGCACAGTTGTCGCCGCCAAGGATGTCTCTGTCATCGCAGCTTGAGCTGCCGTCGGGTTTCTCCAGCGTCTCCTCATGTCTCCTCCCCATCCGGGATGCAGTCCTGGTTCTGTGCTTTGCTTGCCCCATAACGACTCACGTTGGAGGCGTTTGCCAGCGGCGTCTCGAGAATGGCCTTGCCCCTCGTCTGGCCACGCCGCGAATGTCTGACCATTGCCTGCATGTTGATGTGTGGGCTGCCCACTCCTTGTATGTCCCTGGTCTGGGCAAGCGTGGCGTTGGTCCCGTGGCTCTTGCTGTGGGACCACGTGGAGCCTGGGGACAGGCAGGCGGGGCCGGGCCTGTTGACGGGTCATGGTCTTTCTTCCCCAGTGAAGACGGCATCATCGGTGTCACAGAGCCCCGCCGGGTGGCCGCCGTGGCCATGTCCCAGCGGGTGGCCAAGGAGATGAATCTGTCACAGCGGTGAGGACTCTTTCCCCAGGGAGGGGGGCTGGGGGGTGCTGCGGGCTTGCCTGGGTGTGGACTGTCCTAGGAGGTGGCGGCAGCCGTGCCGAGGGCACTGGGTGGGCATGTGGTCTCAGCACCCGAGCACCGGGAGCATCATCAGAAGGGCTTCCTGCATGCCAGAAGGTGGGACCAGCCCAGGCAGGGGACCACGGAGCAGGACCAAGCCAGCCAGGCCCTCGACTTGCTTAATACGCCTGGTATGCTGGGGGGACAGAGTCCGTCCAGGGCCTCGAGGACAGAGTAGGTGGCTGGATGCAGGCCGTCATGTCCTGAGTACATCTCATTGCCAGGTTAATCTCAAACACAGAGTTCTAGAATGCAAAGCACGCTCCCAGCAGTAGTCTACAGGCCTAGCTCCAGAACGTAGCCTGAGCAGGAGATGCAGCCTAGGCAACGTAGTGAGACCCCATCTCTACAAAAAGTCAAAAATTTAGCCAAGGGGGGTGCGTACCTGAAGTCCCAGCCGCTCGGGAGGCTGAGGCAGGAGGATCACCGGAGCCCAGGAGGTCAAGGCTGTGGTGAACTATAAGCATGCCACTGCACTCCAGCCTGGGCAACAGAGTGAGACACCGACTCAAAAAATAAAAAAAAGACAAGACTCTGAAACACAGCTGCATTGTGCCCGTCACAGCCCCCAAGTGTGTAGCACGCCCCTAATGTCCCCCAGCTCGTGTCCGGGTTCCCCTGGTGCCCCTACTGAGCTCTGGGACAATTGGTTTTCCAACTCGGGCTCCGGCCAAAGTGTGCACGAGTGAAGGCTGGGCCTGGCTTCCCCGTCAGCTGTGACAGCTTGCTCCCCCTTCCCTCTGGAGACCAGGGTTTTGGGGGGCACCTGGGATGATGTCTGGGCCTTGTGTGAAGTTGCTGGTGGGCCCTGACCTTGGGCCACTGCCAGTGGGGCCAGCCTGCTCCACTCCCCCTTGGAGGAACCATGTGGCTACGGCCCCAACCAGCCGCAGCTTGGGACGCATCTGCCCTGAACCAAGTCTGTCCCCCCAGGGTCGTCTCCTACCAGATCCGGTACGAAGGGAACGTGACCGAGGAGACCAGAATCAAGTTCATGACGGATGGCGTGTTGCTCAAAGAAATCCAGAAGGTTAGTGCTTGGCCTCGTCGGGAAAAGCAAAGCCAGCGAGGGTGGGGGCTGAGTCAGGATGTCACCTATGACACAAGCAGGCAGCATGTCGACTGGCCAAGCACTCTTTCTGTGGTGCTGTGTGACTTTCGCCACTGACTTAACCTCTCTGAGTTCAGTTTCTTGATCCACACACCTTCCTCGTAGAATTAGTTTCCAGCGGAAGTTATAGAATGCATTGAGAGAAGCCTGGCCCAATGCCTGGTACCTAAGAGGTGCTCGTCAATGTAAACACGTGTATGTGTTCCAACTGGGTCCCCAGAGACTGCTGTGCCAAAATGTGTACGAGCACCTATGGGGTGCAAGCTCTACCTGTGTGTTGGAGACCCAGTGGTGGCCTAGACGCAGCCTCCTCCCAGGCTATCCTGGTCGGGGGCACGGTGGGAGTGGGTGCCCAGCCTCAGGCCGAGGGACAGAGAGACTGTAGCCTCGCCCAGAGCGGGACCATCTGCACAGACCACCGTGGCTGCCTCCCCGCCCCTCCCACTCTGGCCTCGGCAGCTTCCTAGGGAGTCCGCCATTTGGTCACGTGGGGTAGCCTGTGTGACCCAGAGGCTATGTCGGACCCAGGTGGGGGGCTCTAAGCTTGATGGCAGCTCTGCTCCGAGCCGGTAGTGTGACGTCCCTAGGCAGGGACAGTCTCTGGGGACGGCAGTGGTGACTCTAGCCTTCACCACTGTGAGACCGCCGGGCATCGGGGATGGCTGTGGCTGTGGCTGCAGTTCTGGTCCAGGTGCTCGCCCTCCGTGTGGCACCTGCCATCCGGCTGCCCGCAGCCCTCAGGCCCCTTTCCCATGCTTTCTGTCTGCCCTGCCACCCCCTGGGCGCCCACACTGATCAGGGGCAGCCACCCTCCCTCTAGCACCTTCTCTCCCCAGTCCCGGCCCCCGACGGTGCTCTGGACAGGTATTAACTGTCATCAAAGCCTTACCGTGACTGCACTTTACAGAGGAGGAAACTGAGGGACAGGGAGGTGACGAAACTTGTCTGAGATCACCGAGCCAGAATCCCCCAGTCTGAGTACCCAGGAGCCCTCCGGCTCTCGGGGACTCCTGCTTGGGGGCCCGGGGGCTCGCCTGGGAGGGTGGGCTCACCTGCTGCCTCCCCAGGACTTCCTGCTGTTGAAGTACAAGGTGGTGATCATCGACGAGGCCCACGAGAGGAGCGTGTACACGGACATCCTCATCGGCCTCCTGTCCCGCATCGTGGCTCTCCGGGCAAAGGTGGCGCAGGGGATGGGAGGTGCTGGGAGAGGGTCCCCAAGGTCAAGGTTCCTGGGGGGGGTGTCCAAGGAGCGGATGGAGGGGCAGTGAAGACTTCCCAGGAAGGTGACCTCACAGAGTCCTCCAGGAGGGGAGGCAGCGGGGTGTGGGTCCAGGGCAAGGAGCCTTCCAAGTCGAGAAAAGCAGGTGCAAAGGCCCTGAGGCAGGTTTGCTTGGTGTCTTCTTTTTTGTGTGTGTGACAAGCTTTATTGAGATAGTACTCACATTCTATACAATTTCAGTGTTTTTTTTGTTTGTTTGTTTGTTTGTTTTTTTGAGTTGGAGTCTCACTCTGTCGCCCAGACTGAAGTGCAGTGGCTGCTTCCGGCCACCGCAGCCTCGACCTGCTGGGCTCCAGCGATCCTTCCGCCTCAGCCTTCCAAGTAGCCGGAATTACAGGCATGCGCTGCCACGCCCGGCTGATTTTTTGATTTATTGTAGAGATGAGGTCTCGCTGCCCAGGCGGATCTCGAACCCGCGGGCTCAGGCAATCCACTCACCTCAGCCTCCCAAAGGCGCGGGATTACAGGCTGAGCCTCCGAGCCCGGCTAATTTCAGTGTTTTTAAAAATACATTCACAGGGTTGTGCAACCATCAACACAGTCAATTGTATTTATTTTTATTTTTTTATTTTTTTTGAGTTGGAGTTGCTCTCTGACACTCAGGCTAGAGTGCAGTGGCATGATCACAGCTACTGCTAGACTCAGGTGATCCTTCTGCCTCAGCCTTCCAAGTAGCTGAAACCACAGGTGTGCACTACCACACCTGGCAATTTTTTTTTTTTTTTTTTGAGTTGGAGTTTCACTCCGTTGCCTAGACTGGAGTGCAGTGGCCGCTCCCGGCCACCGCAGCCTCGACCCACTGGGCTCTGGCGATCCTTCCGCCTCAGCCTTCCGAGTAGCCGGAATTACAGGTGTGCGCTACCACTCCCAGCTGATTTTTGATTTATTGTAGAGATG